TTTCTGATGAGGACATTTTTGATGAGGACGTTTCTGATGAGGACGGTTCTGATGGGGATGGTTCTTTTGAGGGCCATTCTACTTCAGTTCAGTCTGCCACTTTCTCGCCCGATGGTCTGCTAGAATCTGGCTCTGATGGTGAGACCAATAAGCTCTGGGATCCCAGTACAGGCGAGCTGCGCAGGACCCTTAAGGGCCATTCTGGTTGGGTTTGGTCGGTCACTTTCTCACCTGATGGTCGGCTGCTGGCATCCGGCTCTGCTGATAAGTCTGTCAAGCTTTGGGATCCCAGTACAGGCGAGCTGCGCCAAACCCTTGAGGGCCATTCTCGTTGGGTTCTGTCGGTTACTTTCTCACCTGACTGTCGGCTGCTCGCATCCGGCTCTGCTGATAAGACCATCAAGCTCTGGGATCCCAGCGCAGGCGAGACCCTTGAGGGCCATTCTGGTAGGGTTCTGTCCATCACCTTCTCACCTGATGGTCGGCTGTTGGCTTCCGGCTCTTCTGATAAGACCATTAAGCTCTGGGATCCCAGTACAGGCGAGCTGCGCAAAACCCTTAAGAGCCATTCTGGTTCAGTTGGTTCTGTCAATTTCTCGCCTGATGGTCGGCTGCTGGCATCCGGCTCTGTTGATAAGACTATCAAGCTCTGGGATCCCAGTACAGGCGAGCTGCACCAGACGCTTAAAGGCCATTCTGGTTGGGTTGAGTGTGTTACTTTCTCACCTGATGGCCGGCTGCTAGCATCCGGCTCTGCTGATTGGACTATCAAGCTCTGGAATCTCAGTACAGGCGAGCTGCGCCAGACCCTTAAGGGTCATTCTTCTTGGGTTATATCCGTCGCTTTCTCACCTGATAGTCGGCTGCTGGCATCCGGCTCTGCTGATAAGACTATTAAGCTCTGGGATCTCAGTACAGGCGAGCTGCACCAGACCCTTGAGGGCCATTCCGATTGTGTTTGGTCAGTCACTTTCTCTTCTGATAATCGGCTGCTGGCATCCGGCTCTTCTGATAAGACCATCAAGCTCTGGGATCCCAGTATAGGCGAGCTGCGCAGGACCCTTAAGAGCCATTCTGGTTGGGTTCGGTCGGTCACTTTCTCACCTGATGGTCGGCTCCTGGCATCCGGGTCTGCTGATAAGTCTGTCAAGCTCTGGGATCCCAGTACAGGCGAGCTGCACCAGACCCTTGAGGGTCATTCTTTTTGGGCTTGGTCTGAAAAAAATGTTAATATATCAATCCAAGACCATCAGTGGATATGCCTTCAAGGTAAAAGGATTCTGTGGCTTCCTGCAGAGTACCGAGCGAAAAGTTTGGCATTGAAAGGTAGTGTCCTTGCGCTCGGCCATGAAAATGGACGGATCTCCTTCATCTCATATAGTCACATGTAGATAATCCTAGCACACAATTCACTACCATTTAATCTCTTTCTAAGGTGATGGCCTGGGATGGCCAAAGAATTCAGACGCTTTTTCCCTTGCTCCTAGATATCTGACCTGTTTTTACAGGCTGCCAGGGCCTAGGCCGAATCCTTCCTTGAGGCACCAAGTTCGCTCTATTCACTATTGATATGATCCTACAACACAAGATCCCACGGGGACACAGCGCCTTGGTGATTTGCGACAAATCTAACAGAATGAACAGCAGCTAACTAAGTCCAAATGGTACTTTCTGTATATCAAAATACCTAAGGGCTCAGTCATATCCCCTTCTAGTACAATAAAGAATAGATTTTTAAATTTTGAATTATCGTGGTTTTCAAGCCAAATCGCTTTGAAGCCTCTGGGTAACGTCGCGGTTATTGAATGTGGTTGCTAGGAGAAGGATATCGATCATTCGTGGGGCTATTTATGATCAGTATAAAGACAGAACCTGGTGAGATGGAGCAAAAATAGAATGGGAACTCGGCGGACACCATACTGCACAATACCATGGCCGCCTTAGTTGACGCAGAAGTCGAAATGTGCTTTCTAATCCTGCAAGTGATGATATTTAGGTCCCTGAAGGGGGACCTGAAGGGCCACTAAGAGAGGCTAGGCGCCCACCAGTGGCCTTGGGTGAGCACAGTCATACTAATGCGGTTGGATGATTTTTGCTCTTTCATTTCCCTCTCTGTCCTCTTTGATTGCGAATTGAGATCTCCTGCTACCTACCGTGTACCTACCGTCTGCTGGGACAATCGTCTCCTAGGTTGAATAACGGCCATAGGACAACTTTGTGTCTCTAGGAATGCTGGAATTGGCCGGTTTAGTCGTGTTGAAGAGCCAGCTCTTAATTCTTATTGACCCAAGGCAAGGCTTATTTTGCGGGTGATTCTGTGGATTAAGCCCATTGTAACCATCTGAAAAGGGGTTAATCCTCATGTATCTGTACATGTATTTAACAGGGGTGCTGCTCTCTTCATTATCTTTGGTACTTATTGTGCTGACGTATTCCTAGTTAATAGAAGCATGACTTAGGGCTTAAGGACCTAACTCTATATTACGTAGAGGAGAGAAGTATCACAATGCAATAGAATATATGTCCCGAACTATGAAACGCCCTTCTAGAAGCGGTTCTGGTACACTATGAAGTTACCATCCATGTTACGGTGCCCGCAATGAAAATTACTAGCACAGCTGTGGCGATCCCCGCCCCTGCTCGATCTCTAATAGTGATAGGCTTAGGTTTATTTGGTTGCTCATTATGGTGCTCAATTTCATGCTCCGTGGCATCTGGATTGTTCTCGATCGTCTTGGGCGATTTTACTTCGAAGAGCATCAAATTGCCCGTGATTCCACCCAAAGCAGCCATTTGTACTTCCAACCCGGTTGGGCCCACCGGCTCAGGAGAATACCATCTTTCGCCGCAGAGATTTTGAGTTCCCCCTGAGCACTGCTTCGAGATGGCCGCAGCGGATCCTTGCAGCTTTGGTGTGATCAGGTCCCTGGTCGAGGGAACCATGATGGCCGTGAACGCTAGCCACATGGCAACGTAACCCTTGAAGCCAAGCTGGTTCCGGTCGCATGTCAAGATTGGTTCACAGGCGACTTCAGAGAGCACAAGCCCATTGCCTTCCTTTGGGAAGAAAGTCGTTAACACCGAGTTTAAAAGCCCGTCAACGCGCTTGAGCCATTTTTCCGCACCGTTTGTCTGGATTGGTCAGCTTCTGTATCCTGGGGGAAAAGAAAAGGAAGCTCCATACATGATTATACATGAACGCTGCGCCAGCGAGGTAGGTACCATAATTGTACGACCACTGTTGGTTTCCCGCATCGGTGCAATTATTCTCATTGGAGGTTGAATCGGCGATGTACCAACGATCCGTCTGCAGAAGAGGCGTGCTAGCAGACCAGTCCCAGATCTTATCTGCCCATTCAGCATAGGTCTCATTCTTGGTGAATCGAGCGAGTCTGGCAGCTAGCTCGAAAAGCCCACCATTAGATATGGCATTTTTCATCCTGTAGCCTCCTCCTTGGTAAGGCCATAGCTGCCATCGCATACCGCCATGACAGAACTCGTTGTCCCATCTCTCCACTTGCAAGTTGAACACTACACGAGCAAGTGATGTCCACGACGGCTTCCCCGAGATTTCTGGAAATCCTGACTCCGAGGCTGTAATGGCTGCTAGAGCCCAGAACATTTGGTCATCATTGCCCTGGCTTGAGTTAATGATCCTTACAGCACAACTGCTACAGGAAAGTTAAAACATACCAGCCATTGGCTGACATTCTTGGATTGATAGTCATAGTTCTCACCAGCCTGGAACATTAGGTCATGCGACACAACGGAGTTGTAGGTGTCGTCGCCTGACGCTTGCCAGAACTGAATCAATGTCATGAACATGCTCCCGGCTACATACCACGTGCCTGTCAGCTTGCCGGGAATGCCCTCGGTTTGATTCTGTTTGTAGAATTCCATCATGGGGGCGGCGACTGCCTTGCCAGCTTGCTTCAACGAGTCTACCGAATTTCATGTGAGGATGGGTGTCTAGGGCTTCAGATCTTCGAGCTCTGTACATACCGACATTGTTCACCTCGATCCCGAGGTCGGCGAGGGCTACTTGTCCAGAGATGAATACCAAGGCAGCGAAGGCAACTTGGCGGAAGCTTCGGTAGTGCATCCCCGGATGTGGGTCTTTTTCCGTTGTGATGCAATGTAGGATGTTGACGTATTAACGGAGGATAAATCTTGATCCAGAAAGAGTGAATGAAAGGGCTGGAAACCCTTTAAAGCAGGCGAACTAACTGGTAACCTATGTGGATTCGAAGACCGAAGGGGTAGTTCCAGGGACACCCTGCTGAGTCCTGACGGGTTGGAAGGGCTAATGCAGGTACCCAATCTCTTAACGGGAGTCTGTTTCGATTGAACACTGAGCAGACTTAGAAAATCTCTGATAGTGCTTACAGTTATATGGTTAGTGGACATTTGGACATTTGGGCGCAGCGCTAACTTGGCAGCCCTAGCTGACTCTCCAGGGAACTTCCGGGGTGATAACGAACCAATGGCCAAGCGTACGATGATTAGGGTAGCATCACTAATAGTATGAATTGGACATTCCATCAATCAGTTAATTCCTTTGTACACTAGATCCTTAGTGCTTACTAGTAATACGACCTAAGAGCGGAAAATGACCCTGAGACATACTTCGAAAATTTGCGACCCTGAGCCAATCGGCGATTCAAGGATATCGGGAAGAACCGAAACGCTACCTAAGTAGCTTCCAAGCTGTTCTCAAGAGCATACATATATTAGACCATTCCCCACAGTCATCCCCCGACTCGTTTGCTCGTTTCATTGCAACAAGAGCCCCTGAGAGTACAGACCATGTTTCGTTCCTCTACAATGCGAGATTCAATCGCATTTGACGCAGGTATAACAAGCTGAGGCTGACCCCCATTATCCGCTGGTCCAGTAACCCTCCCCCAAGGATGCGGTGGCACCTTGACAGTCGTGTCGACATGTTCTTCCGCTCCCCCATAATCGACCGTACCACCCTTGAACCAATACCGCCATGTATCTCCAACTTCCCAGTGATCGATCTCCTCTAGGGTCCCCCAAGAGTCACTCCAGCATTCCCCCGGCCTCAGAGCCACGATATCCCCATCCTGCGCCACTCTCACCGTGATATCAGGGCCATCTAGGAATAACTCGGGACATTCATTCTCCCAAAGCTGCCAGTATCCATCCTCTAGACGATAGGGCCGATACTTAAGCCGGAGTACATGGGAGCGGAGTATTATCGGCCGGTCGGTTGGATCCCAGTGGTAGGGAATATGGATCGAGGCAGAGTGGTTTCCCCTTAGGGTAATGGCTTCCAGGCCGGTGAGCTCTACGCTAAGGACGGCGGCGTCCTGTTTGAAAAGGATACAGAATTAGCATTCGAGTGGAATGTCCAGGATGGGGATTTCGACGCGGGAAAATCGGCACAATAGCCCCGGACGAAACTATATACCTACACTCAGTCTGACGACAGGACTGGTGGAGTGGATAGTCGATGATTGGCGACCGGCGCCTCTATCTCCTCATACGTAAACATGTCACTCGCACCCCTCAATATGATCAGATCCGGCTGGTCCGGATTCGCCCCCAGCTGCGAGCGCACATGGTCGGTTGGGCTTCCCCAGTCCCGGAGCCGAGTCTTCGTCCCGGGCCAGACAAGCTCATATGCTTCGCCGGGTACAAGTCTGGTTATACGTGACGGATTCGCCGGGCTTTGGCGTTGTAACGTCGACTGGGTACTTTATGGTCATGACGTCTAACGGTTCTTGGATCGCGTCTGAGACGGTCACCTTTTCCAGCTTGCCGTCTGGGGTTTGTCGTAGAAGTAGGAATCTATCTTGACTGTAGCCCTCGTTGAGGGGGGACCACACCAAGACAAAAGGCCTCGGGTTATCATCTTCCGCTGGTCGACGGAGAGTATATTTTAAGAGCGAGCAGAATTCGACCCCGTGCTGGAGATATAGTGCCTTGGGACTTGAGCTTGATCGTAAGTTTCAGGTCTTAACGGGCAGACCGGTTCGGATGCCAAGGTGGGGGCCGGGTCTTGTGTATGTGTGAGAGAGAGCTCAGTACGTACTGTTTATCATTGGGTGAAAATTAGATATAGGGGAGCTATTTGCGGGTCTATCTTCCTGTCTTTTTCCTGATTATAAAGTGAAGAAGAATCGGTCTAGTATAAGTAATATGAGTTAGTAGAGGTACGATGTCTCCTCATGTAAAGCCAGCGACATTATACAGGGTTCTAATTGACAATGTGGGTCGAGGTGCGGGCAATATCCGTGCTCTCGTGAGGATCTCCAGAAAGGCGAATACTATGGGAAGATCTTCGCGCCACAGCTGTGGGCTTCGGTACAGGTTGAGAGGCCTATCAGGGTACTCTTTGCCACAGGTCGATTGGTAAGCGCCCTTCCTGTGAAAACTATTCCACATTAACTTACGAACCAGGCTGAGATGTCACTGCTGGCAGACGTGCCGGAGGCATTATTAAATGGTGGAATCTTCGTGGATAAATATCGAGTCCAGGCGGCAGCTGTATGTCTTGACTTTATACATACATTAGTTAACATGCATCCTAAAGATTTCCTGCGGCTTTCAGAGCAGGACTGGGATCGCATCGGGAAGAGACTGGGGTCATCTAAGGTTTTGAGGGACGACACCGAGGACGCAGAGAAGGCATTTTGTAACTTCCGAGAATTCAGAATAGCATGATTATAGGCAGACGGTGTAGAGAGCCACGAGAATGTGTTGTGATGAAGGATGAACTATGAACATTTAAGTCGTTGTATTATCACCTTCAAGCTTGATTCGTCCAACTGGTTGGAGAGTAGGTTAGTAGATCCTATGTTAGAGAGGGGCGTGACGAAGTATACTTGCGGAGTGTTAAGTCCAAAACCTATCTCGCTATAGGCTTATGGTCCGTTTGTTTATGAGGATGTGCGAGGTACAATTGAACAACATCCTAATATGAACAAACACTCAACTTTCAGTCATATTTAAAAAGCCTTGTTGAGTAATAGAAGGGATAACTGAGTTTCCTAAGCCTAGGGCCAAGGTCATGACCAGTTCCCTCATCGGTCAGTAGCCTCTAGTAGAAACTGAAGGCTGGATATCCTTTCCTTCTACTACAGTCGCGTGAGGATCCGATTCATACCAAAAAAACATAACTATAAGTTTTAGTTCCAACCAATAGATTCTCTCTCTAGAATCTAATCCTTAAGAGTCCGTACGGCTCCCTCCCGTAGAATAGGGAGCAGAGAAGCTACCAACTGCGATATAAGCTTTTACCTCTAAGCCTTCTAAGCCTCATAAGCTGCCCTATAAAACTTAGTGCCGTATTCTAAGGGTTTGAAAAGGGAAAGCCTATAATTAGCACTTTTAGATTTAGGTTCTTACCAACCCTATTCTTGTACTCTACTGGTGTATAAATACTTACATAGAAATTACGCCTGGATAGTAAGGTTACTATCATCTCGCCCACTAGGCATAAGTGAAGTAGTTACTCGACTATCTGTTGAGAATATCCGACTGTATATTTCGTTCATGATCCACGTCCTTAAGATAGTTCTCATACGCTATTTCCCACGCCACACCCAAGCCTTAACACCATGAGCTAAAACACAGCAATCTATTCCGAGCAGCCTGAACCATGTGATCTGCATATCCTTCGCGTAAGCACGTCTTGGGCCAGAGTGACATCTACTCCGCATAGGGTTTGATGACATCATGTCTATCTTAAAATGTTGTTGCACTCACCCACTACAATCTGTTAGTCTTTAGGGATTGGCTCAGGTACGCCTTTTACATGGATCCTGATGGACCTACTATCTCGCTTTTCGGGTTCTGGTACGCCCATCACGGGGATTCTGATGGAGCCATCATCTGCGGAGCGAACTTAAAAGGGTCTCGCCGATGCGAGAGCAGCAAAGACAGCGATGGCTTGAAAGAAAGCGTAGAGCTTCATTGTCTCAGCTCAGACAGAAGAGAAGAGAGGGGTAGTGATCTGCGTGCAATTCTAGGAAATCGTGACTCGCTATATGTTTCCCACATCTGTTCCTCTCACGGATTCCATATCCTTGCTGCGCATATTCCTTGTTGTTCTTAATTATTAAACTATAGGTATCCTGGATCCTTGTCTAGTATACCTGGAATTATTAGTTGGGTAGAAATTGCGAAAGCTCCCCCGTCTCTGTCGGGACAGAAGGTAGTTATATTGGAGGAGAGGACCCTTCTACTAGACAGTCGCTTGACGGGTACAAGAATCAGCAGGAAGTACAAGATAGGCATATGCGAGGGAAGAAGGAAGGGTTAAATTCACCAGAAAATAGAAGATGCACGTGTACTAAAGGGGAATATGTAAATCTACTAAATTATAATTATTGCGACAAGATTGATATTGTGGAGTCAATCAAACTGGCCATGGTGTGCTCCGTACCCATTCTAGAATGTCTGACTATTATCCTTGTAGGGCTGTTGTTAGTACGGTGGGGACTGACAGGGGTCTCCCGAATCCTAGACCATGAATAATAAAGCACCGTTTCAAGCAGTAAAAGAAAGTTCTATGAATACGTCGCAGAAAGCTGCAGGGACAGGCACAACAGACCGCACCTAGGTAAGACTTTGCTCATCCATGTCATACTGGACTCCCGTGGGAATCCCCTCAGTTGGTTCAATTTCTTCAAATTCCTCCTAAACTTAAAGGGTTCCCTTGTCTGTCAACTGGAAGAGTCGGTTGCGCCCACGCACTGTCAACCCTACTGATTGAGGCATTGTCTTATATGAGCTTATATAACGCGCAGAGACTAGAACCTTGAGCGAATCTGTTCTCTAGTGGAATTACTTCCCGTCTTGTTTAGAACTAGCCTCAGCCAGGTCAAAAAGCCCCAACCAACTTATTCAAATGTTATACATCCCTATTTAGAGGTATCAGACACTTCCTCCATTCCACCAGTTCGTCATGCTTGATCCTCCCTCCTAGAGCACAATCTACTATCTATCTGGCCTTACCCTAACTCGCCACTGTTACCTTCTCCCTTACCTTCTCCTCCCTTACCTTCTCCTCCCTTACCTTCTCCTCCCTTACCTTCTCCTCCACCTCTAGTCGCTAGGTCTAATTCCGTTTCTTCACTTCGGTCGCTCCTCCTGCCAACCTCGCCGCAACAGGAAGCGGCCAGGCAAGCTGCCCAATAGGGTCATGATGCATCTCACCGGATGTAATCAAATCAATAACCGCAACAGCAATATACCCCCCAATAGCTGTGAAGACATGCCACCTACACATCCTCTCATCAGCAACACGGACACCATCTTAGTATTGAAACAAACGTACCACCCATGCAACTCCAACAAAAAAGCCAAAGGCAGACCAACAGTCTGTCTCGTGCTCCTCAGCACCCGACACGCCAAATCATCAATCAGCCACACCAGGTACCCGAAGATAAAACTCGCTGGAACTAGTCAATACAAAGATCCACGCAAAGCACTTGTTAGGTAAACTATAGTACTGACCGCATCCAAAGAGCGCGATACTTTGCACCTTCTTCCGGGTGGCCGGGTCGGGAATTTGCCGGGGAATAATTTTCAGCGTGCGCGTCGCGATCAAGTAAACTGCCATACCGAAGGTGACAGCGTGGAGCAGGAATTCATCCATGACCATGTGAACGACCATGACGATCGTGAAGAGGAGGGAGAGGATGATCCCTACTGTTCTGGTGTGCTGGGGTGTGGTTTGGAAAGAAAGGATGCGATACAGGAGGGGTGTTGTTAGGAGATGCATGGACAGTTCGTCCGCTGCATATTTATTGACTGCGTGAGAAATGGTCGGTAGATTCCAAGGACATAAGAGCTAGACGTACACATCTGGGTGTGGTATTTTAGAGTCATATGGTAGCCGGCTGAACATACTCCTACCCCGATCAGTCCGAAGTAGGGGATCGAGCGGGAACCGGCATGCTTTTTGTGACAGAGCTTTGATAGACCGTAGATCCCGTAGAGGACTGGTTTTTCAGGGTCAACGAGAGGTTTTATGGTGGGCCTTTTTGCATTAACGTACCGTATACGAAGCTGCTTAGGGTGTTGATGAATTCCGCAATGTACCTGGTTATTACGTAGTCCTTTGTGAAGACGTGGCTTGTTAGACTGGCTTTTTTTTTTTTTACTGACATTGTACTGCTGTACATACTTCTTCGCAAAAGCTGGGATTGATAATAAGTCACTGTGAAAGATTTGGTTTTAGGGTTTAGAGCATACTTTAGGTAGGATGTTTGGGGACCCCAGAAGGGTGTCAGTGCTGCGTGATCCATTGTTGGATTGAATTGAATTGGGTTGTTAAGGATTGGGAGGAAAGAAGGGGGGAAATTGGTTGGTCGCCGTTGGAGAGATTAAATAATCATCATTTACCCACAATAATAACGGCCCCACTGGCGTAATAGTATCTATCCACTTCAGGAAGATATAAAGAGAGACGAAAAGCCACAACACAATTCTTAAAGCACATGGGCCTCGCCTGTAGGCTTAATTTCCTAGAGTAGATAATCTGCCTCTATAGAGCTTATCTTAATATAGTATAGATATCTTTATCTTGTTATTATTATTATTATTAACAGGTCTCACGATCGATCCCAACGACGACCAGGGGGCGAATGGATAACCCCCTCCCTCCCCCCCCCCCCCGAACGACCTCCATCACCACCCCCAGTATCCTGGAGATCACTATCATTGGGGGCAAGCCGTATACGTTGACGGAAGGAACCATCAACGTCGATGGCACGACTATCCGGCTGCCGAACTTGGGTGGTAGCGAGCAGGTCAGCACGACAATAGAAAATGTGCTCATGGCCATTATCCCAAGCTACTCGGGAACTATGGCCGTGCCGGTGTTCCCAACGGCCAAGCCGACTTCCGACTCAGGCTCCGACCCCACTCCCTCCTCAACGAGCACGTCTACCACTGCTACTACCAGCTCAGCAGAACCAGCGCCTACCTCTGCGGACGGCGTGGTCCGATGGGGAAACAAGGTGTGTGCTGGCATAAATGTGATCCCTTCACCGGCAAGCCTGTGGGTGGTGGGTGGGAAGGAGGTGATCCATGGTGCTGGCTTAAGAAGGACAAGACAGGGGCCTTTTGTAATAAAGCAAAATATTGTCCAGCAGACCTGGAGTGTCAGCCTAGTAGCTGGCCCGGGGGAGGATGTTGGGTAAGCACGCCACTTGCCGCTCAGGTACTTTCGCTTGATGATGATGAGACATCTCCTGTCAAGGTGGGGCCCCTTGGCCTCCGCCTTGACTTATACTAAGCCCATATTAGCCGCTATAATAGAAATGAACTAGAATCTGTGCAAGATATGATATAGTGTTTAGATTCATTAATCCGCAGGATGGGCCAGGGATAGGACCAAGGCAGGAACAATGAATTCCGAGGACTACTTTAGTCTCATGTAGACTTATCGACTGCTCTTCCATCAACCCACATACGTTACCCTCATACAGATCATCGATGGATAATCCACTCAGTAGTCAGTAGTCCCGCCCCCATGACATTTTTAGCTCCCGTAATCCGAACAGAGATCGACCGACTTTTCCGAATCGTCATTGTTCCCTGCCACTGCATACAAGACAATAGCTATGTCCTAGCTAAGAATTACCTTGGCTTGAACAACAGCCATAAATCCCTTGACACTCGCCTTGTTCCGAATAACTTATAGTGATGACAGCTTATTATATTGATATTAGAGACATCAAGCAATATTTCCGGGATGATATCTACCCCAGTTTCATTATTAAAGTTCAAACCAGGAAACCTGCTTGGTATCACCGTCAATTTCCTGTAGAGCGGCGTGGCGTCAAGGAGACCCGCCGGCAAAGCCAGCGAGGCCACACGTAGTCAGGCAATGCTGATTTGGTTTTAATTTCTTGGCTTGCTCAACCTTCTATTGACTTCATTAACTGTTTCGTGAAGCGCATGTCGACTGCTGACTCGGCTACTTTGGCTATACAATTTAGGATCCTGAAACTTAGTAACATTCTGTGCCTTACTGACCGGCTGAAGATTGAGGCCTTGTTTGTCAAATAGGGAGGAGCACTCGTCAATAGTGAGAAACACGAAATAGCCAAATGCTGTCTTCTCCATCTGAGAACTAGCTCAGAAAGAGAGTGATCGAACTGTCCTATATTGTACATATGGGGTTGATAGCCTCGTAGGTAACCATACAGACTCCTGTATATAAGTGTTGTCTAATATATAATTGTGGGGCCCAAGGAAAAGTATATAGTCCTATAGTTGTAAGAAATACATAATATTTTAAATATAACTATATTCAACAAAGGCCCTATATGTTAATAACGTTGTATCAGAAGGTGCCATAACTGATAACCCTTTCATATTCTCCAAATATATATCACTAATACTGACAGATTTGCTGCTTGAGGCTAGTGTTTTGGCCATAATTATTGTCCCAGTATTCCTTCTCTTCGACCTTATAATATACGCGCAACTGCAGTATCCTTTGGAAGGATTGATATAGTCATTATTCTGTTCAATTTCAAACCTATATAAGCCACAGTCTCTCTCTCTGTTCCACACCCCGTATATTATTTTTTCGGCTCTATGCTCTGATCCCCCCAAGAATAATCCTTTGGGGTCCTAGAAAACAAGCCTAGAATTTGACACCCCCACTTTTCAGGCCACGACGGTAGCAAATGAAACATGCACTTTAAAACGTCACCACTTGGAGAACTCGTGACGCTATTTGTTTGGGGTTGAGTTCTACTAAAAGAGTGGCCGACCTATTATGATGAAGACACGATGGTTTTGAAATTGATGGCTCGAAGGCCAAAAGAGAGAGAGCCCAGCTCAAGTCAGGATATTAGACACATTGCTAAATATGAACGTACAAGCATGGCGCACTTAAGCGCTCCGATCAGCTACATACTGGGGGGATGGTAAGACACCTTAATCGAAGGCCTTTTTCAGAGCTCTTCAATTCTTTGATACAGTACGAGAATGGAAGTATGCGATAAATGCTCTTGATTGCCCCTCAAGCACGGGTGGTCAATGCAACATTGGCCCATTTGGGAAATGGAATGTGCCGATGATTTCCTGAGCTGCTGGAAAATTATGATATTTTTCTGCAACGAAGGACGTTGTGTAACTTGGATAGTGCGATTTGCACTTCTAGTATCCCCACGGTAGGCACAAAATAGTTTCTTCTTCCCCCGTCCAACCCAGGAAAGGTAGAAAATCTACCTACACCTGCTGATAGTATTTGAACCCCAGGGCACAGCTACCTGTCTTTCTTACTCGCAGACCCTCTACGTATCATGGGCCTTTAAATAGGACTGGGGAATGGACTGCAAAGGCTCCTTATACTACTACTAAGGTGCAAAAGCGGATGCAGCTTAACTGACAGCTTGTTGATCGCAACTCCGCAAGCCCTCCAACCGCAGCAGTTCGAAGGCTCGCAAAAGTGGCCGGATCTACCAGCATGAATTAATTCTACTACGAAACCAAAAGACTGAGCTTCGCGTAGCAAATGAGAAATAAAACCGGGCACGTAAAGCCCCTAGATCATTCATTGCCTCTAGAGGTGTTTCTGACAGGATCTGGGGGTCAACAACTTGCTCAAGACGCTGTACAGCTAATGGATTTGGTGGAATCAGTTCCCAGCAAGCGTGCGCCACCACGATGCAGCAACTGCCTTCAAATTGGCATACTTTTTTATATGGGAAACTTCTACCCTTCCGGGCCTATTAATGAGAGTATGCAGACCAGAAAATATAGAAATGCTCTTTTCCCCCCATTTAAATATCATAATAATACTAATCCTTCGTATAATTCTTTTGGCAATTAAAAATATATTTTTATGTGATTCTAAATAAACCACGCCCACTACGCCGCCTTTCCATTCTTCTGCTATGTACTGCAACGTCAAGAATAATTGCCATTCTGTTTAGTATATAGGTACATGGTAAATACACAGCATATAGCTACCTACCCTCTGCCATCCTAAGCGGAATTCTGATTCGGTCTTCAGCAGACAGCATGAGTCTTTCCTGTTTTCCCTTGGAGCGAATGGCGTTCCTGCTGCGCATAGTTAGCCTCTGGGAATGTGTCGGTGGCAAAGAGGTCAAGATCACCTTGTATTCGGTCATTGCATTTTTCATAGGGTCTTTTGACGTTCTACTTGCGACAGCATGGTCGACAGCGTGGTCCTCCAATCGTTTAATGAACTGTTGGCTGTCCTTTTCTAGGTGTTGGCAACATAGCTTGATATCTTTGATGAGCAAGTCACATCGGCTCCGTGAGAAGTCTTCGCGAACAACAATCCTCATCATTTTCATTTTATCTGTGTCTGGGGCCATCGTATATGCTGGTATGACCCAGCCCCGGATTTTGATGTAATGCGCCAGTGCAAATTCATCGAAGTCCCTATCTTCGAGGGCCCCTTCGTCCCTGTTGGGGAAACGGAAGGCCACAAGAGGCAAGCCACGGCCACCAGTCTCTGACATGATGATAAATCCTATCTCTCTGAGTGCCTGAGTCAAGTAATCGGCGATCTGGACAAGATTGTACATGATATCACGGAAGCCAGATTTTCCGAGTCGGATGAGTTGATAATACTGACCAATAACTTGGGCAGCACCCTTGGAGAAGTTAAGAGTAAATGATGATTGCTCTGCTCCCAGGTAGTTGATATTAAAGATCAAATCTTGCGGGAGATATTCGGAAGATCTCCAAACCACCCAGCCGACGCCAGGGTACACCAGACCATACTAGGAGCAGTAAGTATTTGGTGAAGGTGAAAAGAGGTAGATATTGCAAACCTTGTGACCGGACACATTGATGGACACCACTCTCTTAATCCTGAAGTCCCATTCCAGGTCGGGGTTAATAAAAGGAGCTACGAACCCCCCGCTGGCGGCGTCCACATGGATAGGCACCTCAGAACCTTGCTTCTCCAGGATATCACTAATAGCTTTGACATCCTCATACGCCCCAGTATATGTGGTACCAAGGATTGCAACTATGCCAATTGTGTTCTCATCGCACAGAGCCACGGCTTGCTCAGGGTCAATAACAAAACGTTTTCGGGTACAGTTGACATATCTTTCCTCTATGTCGAAATAGCTGGCGGCCTTCTCCCAACACACCTGTACTGCAGATGACATTATGATGTTTGGACGGTCAGCACTTTTCCCCTCCGCCTGGCGACGTAATTTCCAACGTCTTTTCATGGCCAGGACTGCCAGCATGATTGCTTCTGATGAACCGACAGTTGAGGTGCCAATCGATGTGTCCTTGGGAGCATGAAAGAGACTACCAATCATATTGGCACAATAGTTATTGATTTCCGCGGTTTCTGGGTATTCCTCGAAGTCTATAAAATTCTTTGACATAGCTTCTGTCATCAGCTTTTCGGCCTCCTCCTCCTAGGATCTTGTTAATAACTACCCAACAACAACTGTAAAGCTGACATAAGGGCATACCATGTATGTAGATACGAAGGATGCCAGACTAGCAATTGTAGGTCCTGTCAGCTCCTGCAAGCGTTGTTCCCTAAACACGTGATTTGGACCCAAGGGGAAACGTACTTCAGTTTAGGGTTATTATCCAGGCTGAGCTTATCCTTGACCATACGATATGCTATCCCAGATGGCATAGGCCCGTCTGGAATATCGACACTAGGTAAAGGCGCAATCCCAAAACGTGACCCATACACGCTTCCTGTAAATTGATCACCATCTCCAGCTTGCGGTGTCGCATGCTTCGGGAACGCCGTTTTCCCTTCATACATCTTCATGTGCGAGAGAGACATTGTGGGTGTGGTTTGGAAGGTACAGGTTTAACAGTTTTTGTTCCTAACTAGTGACACGGTCGCAAGCAGCGGTGCTTTGTAGCTGTGAATTCATTCTTTTTTTAACAGGATGCAGAATTTAGTCATGACGTTACGGTTCAAGAAAGTTCAGTGTAGTATGTATGGAATATTCGGAACCGACATACTACCTACCACCTAGAATCTGTAGGCCCAGCGAGTATTAACGTCATAACCACTGCAGTGAACTATTAACAGAATGCGGGATTTAGTCGTGACGTTATCTCGGTTGATATTTAAAGTTTTTTGAGCCATATCCTCTATCCATAGGGTTCAAGAATGTCCGGTGTAGTATGTACGGAACCATTCGGAACCGACATACTACCTACCACCTAGAATCCGTAGACCCAGCCAGTACTAACGTCATAACCACTCCCAGTGAACTACACTACACATACTTCTTGGCTAGTTCTTCTATAATTCAAAATAATGATCAATACCTTATTCCCCCTGCTACCAAATACCTGTATTGCATCAAATCAAAAATGTTCAAAAGCCCAGGTAGTCTTTATGCAGCCCTTGCTGCCACCGGTGCCGCGGGATATTATCTCTTTCGATCGAAGGGCGACCCTAACGCTGCGCGTCGCCAGATAAAAGGTAGCGTCTCACCCACGTCTAATGGATCTGTGCTTTTACATACATGCTGATTCCAATAAAGATGACGCCGACCGCGCCATGAAGTCCATCAATGAAACTGAACAAAGGGGAGAGAAAACTGATGCTTACATCCAACAGGCAGTACGTTTACTACCCCTTCTTCCCTATTTGTATGTTGCAGATTGGATGCCAGTTAGCTCATGATAGTGCTTGCTGTTCGGTATTGGTTAGATCAGAGATGCCCAAGCCACTGCCAAAGCTTCGGATGAGTATCTACAACAAGCGGTATGCCTTTCTCTCTCCTTCCTCCTCCTGCAGGGACATTCCCGAAGGTGATTCTGTGTCATAATTTAACTGTTGCTGCAGATAAAAGACCTCCGAGCTAAAGCTGCCGCCACCGATCAACAGCTAAGTGATACTGCCAAAGAAAGCGTCAATAAACTGGAGAAGTACTTGGAAGGTCTGCGGAATGATATCAACAGCAGCGTCGAGGAGTTTGACAAATCAATGGAGCTTAAGGCAGCGGAAGCTAAACGGGCTTTGTCTGAGTGGGTGGGGGAAGGAGTGAATAATGATGGAAAGAAGAGCGACAAAAAGAAATAAGCGCATACATGGACGTATGTTTCGTGACCTAGGAGACTAGCGTCAATATCAAGAGCTTTCTATAGCCCTACCGGTATGTCAACAATTCTGGTGATGAAATAAGAGAGCACGAGGGTACTCAATAGCGTGCCCTATTAACGAGGAATGGATAGGGTCTGGTGAGATGTAAATTAATGTCTTCGTACTTATACTCGATACGATCTTTCAATATCCGAAAGTGCCATAAGACAGGAACCTACAAGACAAGGCTATTGTAGAACTGTGTAAGAGTTTCCCATTGCTTTTCAGGGTAAACGAAAACTACCGGCGGTGGGCGAGGTATATCAACGCACTTTTTCAAATCACATCAAAACTGAGCCCATGCAAATTACGAGAATTGCCCAAGAGTAGGTCTCCGTCGATGATCACGTAGAGTTGTCTCGGCAAAAGCAGTACTTGGAAATTGCTCCGCTTTGCTAAAGAAGAGCACAATTAGGCCTTTCCTGGTCAAGATTGATGAAGGCCGTAGACGGAACATAATAAGGCCAATGAAACCTCTGCAAACCCGTCAGTAGGCCCACCCAAAAACATGCAATCAGCAGCAAAGCGACCGACGAGACATGAGACGGACCGGTAGCCGGCTTTAGAAGAGCGCCTCATTGATCCTTTCCCGTGCCTGAGTAAATCGTAGACTGCCCGTTGTTGGAAAACCCCCAGGCTGTTTTTATGAGAAACCCCCGTATTTTCTATCGAATGCTTCAACTAATTCCTACATTAGTGTTAATCAACCGATCCAAGATTATATGTTAGGTAGAGTGGTGGCTCCGAATCCTACAGCGAATAACCATGTTGACAGAAAGGCTTTAATATTTATTATTGTCGCGAAAGTTATACCCGATTCTACTTTCAACGGAGCCTCTGGGCTTTCTACGTGAGCCACATATTACGCCGGTTTCTGTAATATGTTTAACTTGAGGTTTAGATTTAGTCAAAGAGGTAGCTCTTATATAGGTTTGAAGGATGACGTCGTTGCCTTTTATGCAAATATATGATTTGATTCTAAGTAAGTCTTGGTAAATATTTCCGTACCGGGATATGCAACTTCAAAGTCCCTCCAACGTTCTGTTCACATATTTGGCATATTACACGACTCCATTCCGAAACCAATATCTCATTTTCACATGGCCGAGAGAGCAGTGTAATACGAGCATTTCCTAACTTGTTTGAAACTATCCGAAAACCGGGGTTGTCCAATTGCGGTTCCTGATTGCGTATAAAAAGCTATCGAAAGCGAGTTGTAACTTCTGTCAACACTAGTATAGCTATGCAGCTATGCTATCTGTTCAGTTTGGTAAATATTCCATAGTACATTTAATAAGACTGGAAATACTAGACTAATTGTTCTCCACTGTGCTCTGTTGGGTATGATTTGTCGTCCCCACAGATTTGCCTTAGGCAGGTTTTCATGTGGGCAACTGGCAATCACCGTTTTATTAGCTAGATTGAATAAGACTAGTAAACACCGTAGTAGTTTACTCTTTCACCTCTATGAGGAGGATATGACCCGTGTTCTGACCTATATTCAGTTTTGCGTGATCACATGTAACTAGTTCATAACATTTGGACCGAGCCCTTGAATGACGCAGGAATATCTTGTATACTATCACATCATTGCTCCCTATCCCTGGACAACGAATGATTCCTGAACGCATCTTGGCAATCGTCCCCGGGGAATTCGTCACTAGCAGTAAGTATCCTTCGCGAAGCGTTCAGCAAATGCACTACTCTAAACAATTCAGTACATCTTCCGTTGCTCGACCGACTTGACTTTGCAATTAGAGCCAAACGTATACACATATTGTACTATAGAGAATGAAAGAATAAAATAACCATAATCCTAGGGGTGTTGTTGCCTATATTATAAGCGTTTGTAGATTTAATGGAATATAATGGGTTTAAGCACTCTATTTCCTATTTCAAGCCTGTTAACTTAATTGCTACACAGTTAAACTATACGAGACGCGAGAGAAGTATAGCTGTACTATAGCTCCACCACTGACTTTAGGTAATAGGAAATAATACAGTGAAAACCTTGCTATCTGGAGTCTCAGTCGCTCCAAGGCAGAATTTGTAACGAGTGCTCCCCCTCTGCAGTAGACTAAATGTAAGACCTCAGGACTTTCTAACAAAGTCGATACAGACTTTTCCCGTATGCTGCCTGCTCGCAAGGTATGTGTATGCCTCAATCACCTGGTCCCGGCTGAACATGAAAGTCTTCTCAACAGGGACAGGTAGGTTGCGGGTGCCGATGAATCGAACAGCATCCTCAAGCAGTTGCTTGGAACCAACCATGATACCACGGACAACTACTCCTTTTGCCAATGCGAGACCGGCTACGTCCGGCATGTTATGTCGGAGAGAGGCGGAGAGAAAGCCTATGACGGCAATATTACCGCCGTAAGCAACAGCTTCCAGAGACTGTTTGATAGTCCCAGAGCCACCGTTTTCTAGGATGTAGTCTACACCACGGCCGTGGGTGATCTTCTGTACCTCTTCAGCCCATTTAGGGGTGGTCTTGTAGTTGATAGTATAGTCAGCTCCGTATTTCTGTTGAACATACTGTAGCTTCTCTCCCGAAGAAGATGTGATGATAGTGGTGGCGCCCGCAGCCTTCGCAAGAACGAGGCCAGTGACAGACACCCCCCCAGTACCTGTGTTTGCCAGTTAGATCTCTTTTTTTTTTTTCTAAAAAAAAATAAAAAATAAAATAAAATAAATGCAGATGACAAACCAAGGCAGAGAACAGTATTTCCAGGCTTCAGAGGAATATTCCCGTATAAAGAGTTCCACACGGTAGTTCCGGTGCAAACAACGCTGGCCCATTGGCTGTAGCTAAGCTGGGAATCCGGAAGCTTGACGACTGCTTCCGATGGAATTGCCACGTATTCTCTTAGAACACCGTCAATCGGGCCACCAAGTCCATTGTTCCAGTTTGTGATCGGACCGTACAAGGTAGCGATGTCGAAAGCCACAATTACTTTCTCGCCTTTGGTGAATCCTCGAACGCCCTCTCCAATATCAACAACATCACCGGCAGCATCGGATCCAGGCACAACATTATCTTTTACAGGGAAAGGGTACTTGCCAGTGGATATGGCAATGTCCCGGAAGTTCAATGCTACACTGCGCACCTTGACGACTAGCTCATGTTTCCCGGCAGAAGGCACCGATTCTTTGAACTCAGCAAGTCGTTCCCAGGAATCGTGGCCAAGAAGACGCAGAACAGTTTGAGAAGGCATCCTGCAATTGGGCGAGGTTGCTCTCATAGAAGAACTAAAACAAAATAAAGAGATTTGTGCAGTCAGTATTGGCTACAGAGTTCTCAGGATATACCATACCATCTGGACCTTCTATCCCAGTATCTTGTACCCTGGATTTATTCAGTATTGTTGAACGTATTGTCTGCGCTTCTCAACTAAAACACAAGCCAGGTTACCCCACAAAGATGACGTATGTAGCTGGTGGAGAAGGGATACTATTAGAGGGTTCTACACATATTGATTAGGGAGCAAGTGTGCCGCTGTGTCCGTAAGGTTTGTCGCCCACCCACGCACCAATGACGTCGCGTTGGATAAAAGCCCTACACCTACCGTCATGTTATTCCACACTTTCCTTCACGACTGAGATCTGGATTGCTGAGGTTCTGCGACCCCAGTGATACAGTGTTCTTAACGGCTCCTACTTTAACCAAGGCAGAACACTATTGTGCTGCGGGGACTGCGGGACGGTAACAACGACGTATCTAGAACGAAGACCAACTGATGCCGTTTTTCTCATCCACACGGCTCTGTATCTGTCCACACTGGTTCCAAGTGCCGTCAGTCCCCTCTACAACAGATAAGTCAGTTTTTAACCAGATGTTGATATAATTTCGACAACTTACATCTATCCTTTTAAGTATATACTACTATAAGTGGTAACCGTAGATCCAAGAGTCCTGCGCTGACTATTTCTCACCACCCCTCTCTACCATTCTACGTTATGTAGGAATAGTCTTAAATTACGCAAAGGCAAATTATGCTATAACGAATTATTAAAGCAGCATTTACTTTTGGAATCTTCGGGATCAGAGTATTAGGATGATGTTGCTATTATGCCAGCCGTAGGTGAGAAGTAAATAATACAACTATGCAAAGTCCATAATACAAAGAATACACGGAGGGCAGAGTTAAATACAGTCTTACCTTAGTATACTGACAGGAAGATAGGGAGCAAGAGGCTACTCACAGACCCTACTACACTCATTATAGGTAAACCCAGGGGCACACGGATAGACTGTTATATGACTTCAAATCCTATACCCTTGGGAACAATATGAAGGCTAAGAGAAGCACTAGTCGATACAACTTTCAATCACATCATGGACCGATATATCAGTTCACCACTACTCCTCCAATAAGGTCCGTAACACATCGGCTGGTGTACGCTTCGGTGCGGCAAGCTCCAATACTTCCTTGCTAGTTGTAGAAGACGTGCACCTTCCTTCCCACGCTGCCTCCGGGGCGCGTTTGATGGACAAGACAACATTCTTGGATTCCTGAGTTGCCGCGAACTTGTGCTCATAAAGTATGTCAACGAGTGACATGTCTTTGTAGATGACATCCTTAACTTTGGTGCCGGTGTGCTGCTCGATCATGTTGACGACCTGGTTCCCGGTGATGTCTTCTGGCCCATTCAGAACATATTTGGCTTTGTTGTGCACAGTAGGATCGTCTTGGGACAACAGATGAGCTGCAAGGACTCCAACTTCATCAGGGTCAATAATGCCGACAGGAGCATCTTTTGACGCCATTAACCTCAGAGTATCCTGCTTTCCAGTCTTGCGGTACTGTTTGATGAATTCTGCGGCGGCAGAGAGGTAGAGCGGTGAAAAGACATTGGGCTGGAGCGAAGTCCAATGTAAGTCGTTGAATTCTGGAGAGCTCAGCAGAGCTTCGATTGCCCAATGCGTGCGCGTATAGTACGCATCACAATCTGGGCGAACATTTGCAGCAGTAGTCGATATCCGCACGACGTACTTGACGCCAGCTCTGAGGGCGGCCAGATGGAATGATGATTCTTCGGCGAATTGATTTGGTTGGTTGTGTGATGCAATAAATGCCCTGACGATCTCGTGTTCGCGGAGCCAGTCAGCGGTGATTTCAACCCAGTTTCGCTCTACCATCTCAACGCCAGGCAGTTTTGCAAGCTGTTTGGCTACCGGGCTATCCAAAGAACGCGTGAGGCCGATGACTCGGTGACCGGACAGAGCGGTTCTAGTCTTAAGCAACTTTGGCAGAGTTTCAGTAACACTTCGGCCAGTGTTACCCGTTGCACCGATAATAAGGATAGTAGGAGCCATGATTAAAGGAAACCAGTAGTACTGTTTTGAAGATTCTAAATGGTAGAGTGTGCCGGAAGATCACCAAAACCTCCAGTACTGCTCTCCCCAATTTATATTTTGCTAAGACCCGCTGAAGGCCAGAAATTGCTTAATAACAATACGGTCGATGTGTGGTCTCCGAGTCAGTGGGATCTCCGGGTCAGTGGGATCTCCGGGTTTAGTGGGAATATCTGTTCCCACTATCGAGTCTGGCTCCGTCTAAATTGAGAATCCTTCGTTTGTACTGTAATAGACCCTGGATATGGGTAAAGTGCTGAGATCATGCTTGCCCCGTCTAGGTTAGCATTAGATGTGTCTTGGTATAGGTCACGTCGGCGCTACTCCAACTTTTGCATTGCTGTTCCATCTCCGAACTAATTAATTAATAAGTACCGTATAGTATTAATAATGTTGGTGTGCGAATTAAGCTTTCCTAGCAAGTGGGCTCTCCGAGCAAGCGGCTATCCCACCAATATATTTTGGCCACAGCAGAAGACTAAAAGCTCCACTTATATAGGGTCTTACTAAGCTAGCGTACGGAAAGAATCGCTGAAGTTTCGCCGGAATATCCTACAATTCCTGTCAACCGACACCTAGCAACCGATCCTGAGGAAAGATTCTACTGACAGCGGATGCTCTCCTCCAGGTCTCTACTATATTACAAGTATCTATCACACTAAAAGGATGTGCCCAAAGGCATTCGTATGTCGTTTTCTACGCTGCAACGCGAGTTATCAGCGGAAGGAGCACCTTCGTCGCCATGAGGCGCAACATTACCGCCACCAGCTTTTCCAATGTCTAACTTGTAATCGAGAATTTGGCCGAAGGTAAGGAGTAATTCGTACCTATATATAACTGAACACAGTGACCTTAACGCTGGCATCCTAGTGACACACTCCGGCGACATATGCAAAAGGTACATGGAGTAAAGGAGCCTGCACCTCTCACAAAATATGCATGTACACACTGTCGAGAGCAAAAGTCTCGGTGCCAAGGAGGGCCACCATGCAGCAATTGCCTGCGCCGCGGAATTCAATGTTCTCGGAGCCAACAGGCTGAAGTACAACAAAGTGGCTATCTCAGTTGCCCGACAGACACACTATTAACAGCGTCGCATGATAGTCCCACCCAACCCAAAATAAGTCGCTCTGAAAGGGATAGACATTTTCTTGGTCTGTATTTTAAGTTATTTCACCCTTACTGGCCATTCATTCACCAGGGGTCGTTCCGCGAGTATGATGAGACACCCTTACTTGTCCAGTCGATGATTGTCATCGGTTTGTGGGTGAGTAATGAACAGAACGCACAGTCAAAAGCAATTGACCTCCACAATGTCCTGAGCTCGGCTATACAGAAACAGAAAGTATGTAACCGAAGCCTCGCTACATACAGGCCTATTTCACTGACAAGGAGACTTGCAGGAGCTATGGGATGCTTCGATCTCGGAGGACGCATGCAGTTCCTGTTCCTGGCCTATCCCAACATACCAGGCTATCTTGCTCCATATAATTTTTGCTGTCTTATATAAAGGCGGTGGAGCGCTTAGTCTGGGTCTGAAGCCTTGTATTACTCCTGCTGATACTGATCTGCTTAACAGGCTTGTTGCAAGTTGCAAAAAGCTAGGCATGCTATACTATCCAAACATGCTTTCCCGATATGGCCAGGATGATCTTGCTGCATATGTCTGGGTAAGCATTGAGGAAGTTAAACGGTTCAACCTGGCTCTATATAAAGTTTGCAGGGCTTTCAGCAAACAGGAGAATAGTGTAGACAACTTGGATATAGCAGGAGCGGGAAGCAGGGGGCTCCGTGCACGCGACTTACGATTTCCATTGCCAAGGAACACTCCATTGTGGAACGCTGTAAGCAAAGCAGAATGGGTATCGGCGGCTACAGAGGATGTGTACCGCCATAGCTTACATGACACTTTGGAAGCGGAATGGATCTCAAAGTCAGCGAAAGTCTTGGAACTAATTGAGACATAACATCTTTTTGGGTGGTTTGATTTCCAACTGGGCGTTACTACGATCGGAAACACCCCATCAAGCTTGTCTTAATAATTACATATAGTTTCCAAGTCATGCGACTTCACCAAAAGAAACTAAAATATAGTAATATCTATTTTTTCTAAAACTAAATATCTAGCTATACATTTCGGATTGTCTATAAATCTTGCTGTAATAGGGATGGTACTCAGTGCTGTGCTCAGTTTTCAAATACTTGGAGGTCGTCATCTTTTGCCCATTGAATGCTACGCCACTGACTCTACCACTCATGTCCGCGTTCAGTACGTGCACTAGACAAGGGTCTGCAACAATAGTCTTCCTCTACAGGTCTTAATATAATCTAAGCATTCTTCATCTCATTGTCTCTCCCTAAGATCAACTGATCTCGCAAATCCCCAGAGGCTTGTTGGCGCGTGTGATACTATAGCATACGCTGACTTTAGGCGAGTCGAAAGGGGCGAGGAAATGGAAAAGTGTCATTGAGAGTCTTTTGGCTATTTCTATATTTAGCCTCGAGTTGATTATATATAATCTCGATCGAGAGATATTTAGGAAGGCTGCAAGCTTCGTTTTAAAGATGTTTAATATAGTAGAAGAAAATGAAAAGCTATTTAGACTTCCCGTTGCCCTAATTCCAAGATAGCTCCCAGAGGTCATATTGTTTTTTTTTTCTCGTGTACTCTTTCTGTTACTTCTATTCTCAATCAGATTTGAGCAACCATATGAGATTTTCTCCTAATAACATAGAGGACTAATATACAGCTGATTTGGAGCCTAGTTGGATGTCTACCTGGCTTGCGGCCTCAGCGTAAATTGCATATGACAGGGAAAGTACCATTAAATCGGGCCAAACACAGCGTGGCAAGTGTATCAGTCGAATGATGGAAATCGACAGCATACCCTCTGCCGAACTTCACTTTGCTCAGCAAATGCCTTACCATCAGTTCTACAAACTACCATCCGTCGAGTCCTTAGACGAAAACGACCGTCCAAGGAGTAAAGAGATACACCTCTCATGTAGGCATACCCAACGTCTACCTAACCACCACCACAGCCGGAACCCACAAACTTCTACTTCTGGGTACGCTGGTGTAGTCCTTAAAAATCACTCGCACCGGCTATCGAGCAATTCGCAGAGAATTACGCGAACGCAAAATTCTTCAAGGTGGATGTTGAGCAGCAAGGAAAATTGCCGATGCGGCGGCCGTAGCGTTTGTACCAATGGTGATTGTTTATAAACCGGGTGAACTGGTGAAGGCGCTGAGGGGGCTAGCTACAGCCGATCTAGAGGGAGAATGACGAGATTTGTAGGGTCCTTGTGACTGCATTCTTTTCAATACGAACCTCAGAGAGCCCACAGTATGTTATTCCCCGCGTGACTGCTGACTGGGATGATTGTATTGAATACGTATCTAAGTATATCGCGTGCCATGTATGTAATTCATGCTCCAATATGGGCATTTGATCGTACAAAAGAGAGTGCTGTAGAAAGCCGCGCACTTGCACATTCCCTCACTTCCTAGATGATATCCGCAACATAGCGCAGTTGAGGGAGTAACCGCTACTTTTCCAACAACTACTGCATACCTTGGAGCCCGTTTGCTATCAAATGGAGAATGGAGCATCTTTGCGTCGTACTGACTTCAACTTATTGAATCTTGTCGTATGCCTTAATACTTTGCTAACTCCGGCCGACATGCTTGAGACAAAGGCTGAGCGATGGCGTTGTCAGTGGCCTGCACTTCCTGTCCTACCCTGGCCACAGGAGGCACTGAAATATCCAGAAACCGGGGGAAAACTCTCATAAACTCAGGTCACCTGATAAGAGATATGCAAGGAGCTGTCATAGTGTTAGAGTAAGCCTAGTAATTTGTTGCTCTTGACTGAATTCTTTTTCTAATATTGTCGATCCTGGACCTTGACACAGTTTTTGAACCCCGAGCTACGACTTGTCTATGTACCCCTTCTGATAGCCTCGGAGCGCGGACATATAGGCACGATACTTTACTGTTCTGAAAGCATAGCATTGACAAGCGCTCCGTATTATGTGTGTTACTGTCCCTAGTAGTACCTCCTGCTATGTGCCTGCTTTACAATGATAGCATCGCGTAGTGGGTGACTGTAAGATACATGCATTAGAGTCGAAAACGTAAAAAGTGCAAAGGGAAATATGGGAATGAATTCCATAGGACCATAGAGACAAGACGGTCTATTAAGGAGGCATGTCAGGAGCAATTGGAAGATGTGCGTCGAGACGGTTTTCTAGAGCGGAACACAACAATATGTATATTCGACGACTCGGCACAGCGGCCACACAGAGGCACTCTGTATGGGTATGAATACGACTACTACTCCATATCCCCTGATATGGCACATAAGACACTTTATTTGAGATATTCTATGTAAGTTGCTTTGTGCAGTGTCTCTTATGCTTTCGTATGGTACAAAAAGCAGAACCAGAATCACTATGGATCACCCGATACCTGCGTCCAGTACCCCCAGTTGATATCCAAATTCTCGAAACAACTCGCTACATCAGTATCAAAAAGCTGAGGGTCAGTATCGTCAAATAGAGAATAATCCGCTGGCACTACACTCGGACCTGACAAATATCGTTTCCTCGCTTCATGCTTTTCTTTCAAAGAAACAACCCACCTTGGCTCTTCGCCTCTACGCGGAGCCTGCGCCTCCCAAGCTTTCAACGCCATTGTACCCACAGCAACATACATCAAGTCATTCGGATTTTGACATGGTAGCCAATCCGCGTCCATAAAAACACGGTAGACAGCATCGATAGCACTCCACGCATTATCAAGATTTACCACGTGCCCGTGCTGTAGCTCCATCAAGACATGCACAAACGACTCGAACGGGAATAGTGTATGCATAAACCATAGATATGGCTGTAACTTGTCGGTCGAATATATTTTGTGGGTGCATTCGACCACTTCGACGTTCCACGCCAGGAGAGCGCGTCGGTCAGTGTCCATAATAAGGTGATGGTTGTGACCATCCAATCTTTGGCGAGTTTGGGCACCCTTGATACGTAATTGTGCAATTATACTTGGAGCAAAAAGTTTAGCGAGTAGGTGGAGCGGAATATTCTCGTCACAGAATTGGATGAATTTGGACTCAAGGTATAGAGCAAATTCGTCGACTGCTTTGCTGGCCCCTTCCCCAGTCATCCGTGAAGAAGCTATAAATTGAGCAGACTCGTATCTCATCAAACAGAAGAGCATTTCCGTTCCGTGCGTACCGACACCTGGAGGAAGCCCCCCCATTTCTGGGTACAACTCAGAGTCACTTACGTTCACTGGGCATCGTACTGCAAAGTATTCCCGGGCCTGGAGGTCCATTGTGAATCCTGAAAGCTGTGCAGCACGAAAATCAAGAGTCAAGATCTGCCACCATAGACGACGACGGATCTCTGACTCAAAAAGTGAAATTCGGTTAGAGAGCATCGTCTCCTTGTGAAGGCCGATTCGTTGTGCGCTTCGGAACGCAAGTCCAGTGAGCAGCCAGTGGGACTGATGATCATGATACTGGCGCATGCATAGCTTAATAGTATTAGCCAGACTAAAACATGGTTCGAGCCCTATAATGAAAACGACATACAAGGTAGAGGGTCATCGCTTGCAGAACCATCAAATTACAGGACTTGAGACATTCGGCATTGACCAATGCCTGCTCTGTGGCAGCAACGAACCTTTGGTGGAGTATGCCTTTCGGTTTTCCCAGAAGGGACCCACATTGGTCATCTGTCAATGAGGTAACCGCTGTAAGGTAAATAGCAAACATCAAAGCTTCTAAACCACGAGACACGAAGTCCAAGCAAGAGATAGCATCTGTGATTTGTCTCTGAATTGAGGGCGCATGAAGCACCTTAGACAACGGATGAACGTTATCGAGAAACACTTGCCAGAGCCTGAAGATTCGTGAAGTATCTGGATGATACTCTCGGACAGACTTATACCCAGCGAGACCCCAGACCAGCCTTGTTGCTGGTGGACATTCCACTCTAGCTGAGTTTACTAAATGCTCGGTGGTCGACGGCACAGGCAGCTTTATCCTATTTTAGCCACATATCTACTGAATAATATATCTGAGAATGATATCACTCACTCCCTGAGATAGATCATTCCATATTGGACTGTACAATATCAATACTCCACATCGCTCTGAAGGACAGGCAAAATGGCCGGGTCTAACTCATTCACATAACGTGGATTCCCCTCGTCCTCCACCAGAAATCCCTCCAAGGCTGATTCCGCTGGTCCTGGAATGGCTTGGGCCGCCGTCTCTGTCGCAGATCTGATTCGGCGGCGTCGCGGTGTTGCAGGTGGCCTTGTCATGCAAGACGTGCGGGCGCGAGTGCAGGCGGAGCATGGCTGGGCCCCGTTGCATTTTATTTTACGTTTTCTGCAGCGAACACAGGAATGCCCGCGTGGTGGCCGGTTCTGGACCATGATCTACTAGGAATTCATGAAGGTTGGTCGAGTTGGTGAAAGAGGGGCATAACGTGCACAAGTGGGAAAAGGATACGGTAGACGATACGGAGAAGCGGACATTTATTTTTTTTTAGGGCGTCCTTTAGTTTCCGCCTGCTTATACAGCTTTTTACATAAGCCCTACGGTAGGAAGGTCCGAAAGTCCGCACTGCGGCCGTTTAGCAGGACTTAAATGTCCGTCAAGGCATATCCGAGATATATTGATCGGACATGTCATTAACCACGTACTATTTAATTAATCTCCTCATGCAAAGTATTTAAAGGAGGATAGATCCAATGGATATTGATATTTCTACACTATTATGAATTCCTCCCTTTACTTCAATCCACATAACCATATATATTGTTTTCGGGATGAGCAAAAAAATATTTGTCGTCTTTGGAGCCACCGGCCAACAAGGCGGTGCACTCGTTAACTATATACTTGATCATCCGGAATTCTCGAAAGACTTTCATCTCCGAGTCATTACCAGAAATGCCAGTTCCGCTGCAGCAGAAGAACTCAGACGAAAACCGGTCGATGTCGTGGAAGTAAGTGACACATATATTTAGGGGGATTCCTAGTTGAACTGGACTTTTAGGCCAACCTCGATAATCCGGAGACTCTGCCTGCCGCTGTTACAGATGCATACGCCGTCTTCTCCATGACAAACTGTAAGAATCATATATCTCCAGAGCACGCATGGTTATATCCTTGGTTATACGGTAATAGCTAAGAACATCCATCCCGCTAGACTGGGAGAAAGCCAGTGCCGCCGTTGAAATTGCGCAAGGCAAAGCTGTCGCCGATGCTGCCCTTGCTGCTGGAGTCACCCTTTTCATTTGGTCTTCCTTGCCAAGTTTTACCAAGATAACCAGGGGAAAATCAACCCAGTTACGTCATTTCGACAGCAAAGCTGAGGTTGAGGAGTACATTCGTGGTTTGGCGTTTCCTAGTAGCGTGTTTTTCATGCCAGGGTGGTTTATGCAGAATGTGTGGAGCCCACTGGCGCCGAAGGCGAAGAAGGTGAGATATATCAATATATCTTTCTTGTATGGAATGTACAAGGACATACCCGAACTTACGTGAGATTTTAGATAAGTAACGAAAGAGTACTCTTCCCCTATGCCTTCACGCCCGAAACACAAGTTCCTTTGATCGACATTTCCGATACTGGAAAATTCCTTGCCCCCGTTCTTCGAGATCCGCTGAAATACAACGGCTGCCGACTCACTGCCGCAACTGCGTTTTATACTGCGCAAGAACAGGCTGATACCTGGAGTGCAGTCTCTGGAAAACAAGTCGTCTTAACTACAGTATCCAATATTTCTAAGGATGATCTGCTGAAGCAGCCGGGCACACTTCTCGCAGAGTGGGGATATTATGGGCCGACGGGCCAAAAGGATCTTGAGTGGACGCTTGAGCAAGTTGATGAGAAGCTGGCGACGTGGCGCGAGTTTCTCGAGGCTAATGGACCGTGGTTTGAGGATGAGGCTTAAAGTTGTGGCTGAGTGTTCAATAAGATAAGGACTGGTAGTGAACGTGCATAAGTGGTCACCTATTACATGAAGAATAACATGGATGAAACTGTTATTGGCAAAGAACGACTTGTGAACAATTGTATAACGTAGTAATCCCTATTGCTCAGTACTATTTCCGGGTATAATGAAATATTTAAGTACTCTACCACACCTATATCTTCTCACTTTTTCTGATTTAGGCATGTCCACTAGGCTTATGATGTCGTCTTCCATACTATCCTCGTTTTGTGAGAGTCAATCCTTTCTCTGATGATATAACTGAACAAACACTCCGCCCACATAATCCGCTTCAATTTGGTATACATGTGACGGCACAGTCCCTATACAGGCTGCTGCGTTCGTAGTGGATATCAGCGAGTAGTGACATGATTCTTGTTTGTTCTATTTGTACTCGAGATAGACAATATCCCACAGAGCTTCGCTCCTGGGATATTCTCTTCTTCAAGCAATTCTCTCGTATTTAGAGCTACCCAATGAAATCAATCTATCTACGTTGGCCTGAGCCGTTACAATACGAGTGCTATTATGAATTTTCAGTGCTGAACGTGCGGGGCGATTAGGGGGGTGGATCTCCTCGACCTACATTGGAAACCATTCGACGAGGTTAAAATGGTTAAAATTGACGGATCAGCTTCTGTGGAATCAATCACGACGATATGTACATTGAGATAGTGTTTTCCTCGCTTCCGAGTCTCTTCGTGAAGTGTTTGCAAACATTCCTGCCTTCTCGTAGATACTGGACGCTATCTCATTCAAGTCTTCAAATTAAGCGCAGCAGAACCTAGTTCACTTCACACAGACTTCTAGATTTCCATTTTACGACTCATACTTAGCAATACCGACTCGAGCACTCTGGTGTCATGTTCTGCGGGGATTTTCCCAGTCATCCAATGACTGTTTGCTGGTCGGTACTATGAACAAGGTTGGCAGAGGGCCACATCTCGCAGTAATACCATTTATTGGCTTAGACATCAACCTCGTTCTGAGTACGGATCTTCGCAATAGCGCAATCTCACCACATGAATGGGATGATTTCATCACCCTGCATGCATAGTCACCCAATGATTGTCTAGCACTGCGAGGCAAACCGACAAGGCTGATAGAATTCAAATTTGGACCTGGCTGGTAAAAGCTGTGCTGGGCCGGAATAATAAACTGTTTGTTTAAACCCATTTCGCTAGCATCAAACATCGAATATTCAGGGCCAAATGAGCTGATATATAGCGACATTACTGACTAGACTCCCCATAGTAGATTAAATCAACCAAAATGGATATCTCAAAGATCACAGCGGCAGCAGTATCCCGATTCAATGAGTTCCAGCTTACTCTAGCCAGAGACTGGAGGATCCAGTCTTCCAACAACAATGGCGATAATCTGTCCTCGAGCTCTCGCGTTATTTTGGTTATCACTTTCGACCTAAGTGGACGGATTAATGTCTTATAGGACTAAATTCAGAGAGGTGGACTTGGCAAGTTTGCTCTGGCTGTAAGCCCGATGAGGCTGAGCAAGTGGGGTTTCGACGCGATAATATCACGGAAAATAATATTTGTTATAGCGCTCCGGCAAGCCCTGAGACGTGAGTAATTAAAGCCTGATCAGCCTGTGTTCTATATACTGCTACAATAATGGGACAAATGAAAAATCGTCGTCTTGAGCGTGAAGAGTATGCGATTGGTTGGGTTTGTTTGCTGGAGACTGAACATGCCGCAGCGCGAGTGATGCTTGATGAAGAATACGACAGCTACGAACTCGATGGGCCTTGTAGCAACTTATACACGCTCGGCCGCTGTGGTGAACACAATATTGTTATCGCTTGCCCACCACCAGGCCAATCAGGACATCCATCAGCAGCAGCCGTAGCAGCTCATATGATATCGACATTTATGTCAATCCAGTTCACCCTGATGGTGGGTATTGGAGCGGGTGTCCCAACATCAAGAACAGACATTCGGCTAGGTGATGTTGTTGTTAGCCAGCCAAATCGGAAGAATGGAGGAGTAATGCAATTTGACTTGAGGGAATGGCCTTCTGATGAAGTTAATCACATCGGCTTCATCCGTACGCCTCCGAGAATATTACAAGATGCCCTCTCAATCTTACGAGCCGATCGCTTGGGATTGAGTAGCACATCACTAGAATCTGCTTATAGACTCCGCGAATGGCCGATGTTTAGACGCGAAAACGCAGGACCTGATCTCTTGTTTGAAGCAGATTATTCCCATGTTGGGGGTCCTAACTGTCGAATGTGCAGCAGAGCAAGATTGGTTGAGCGCGAACCACGTCGCGAAAGAGTTGCGATACATCATGGCATTATCGCATCCTGCGATAGAGTCATAAAGGACGCTATTTGGAGAGATAGGCTGAGCTCACAGTTAGGTGGAGTCATTTGCTTTGAGTCGGAGGCATATGGCCTGATGAATATGTTCCCATGCCTTTTCATTCGAGGGGTATGTGATTATGCGGATTCGCACACAAGCCATGCGTGGCAGGCGTATGCAGCAGGCTCTGCAGCGGTCTATGCGAAGGAGCTACTGTCTGTGATATCTTCGGTAGATGTGATGAAGCTTCTCCTTGGCCAGAGACATCTTCCAATTTCGGAAGGGCTCCTTCTAGCAGTGGCAGCAAACACGCGGTGTGCAGAACCACTGATGAGACTTTTCCTTGACCATAGAGGAGAAAAGCTTATGATTTCAGAAGAAGTCCTTA